CCCAATGGGATGTGGTCATATTGCAATTCTTTTCCCTCCATTTCTGCATTCTGCTAGGATCTGAGGCATGCCCACACATGTACGTGGTAGGGTCAGGATTTGCAGCATGGTCAGCCATATAGCATCCGATTCTCTATGTACTGTGCTTAACCACTAAACTACAAGCCAAGCTCTTTTTACATTAGTGCTTTTGACCATCTTTCCTGTGCCTTTCAAGGTACCACATGAGTTTTTATTTTTTCTTCTTCACCTCACTCTCTTCTCATTTATAAGTAAATTAGTCTCCACAGGGGGACCTGAAAGTTGGTTTTGTCCAATGTTTTTTAATAACTGAAAACTCCTGACCATTTGGGATACAGAAGATGCAGAAGAGAAAAAGGGACTTTTCAAAGAAAAAAGAGAATAAACACGTGGGCGATTGCTGATCTTTCCTAAGACTCTTACTGTGAGTAAAGTTTAGAGGGCTAGGAGGACGGATGTGAAGGAGAAGCACAGGATGGGAATCTGTATTTTTCAACTACGGATATTTGTGCCTTCTGAGTCCAACCTAGGAGGCTTGTGTTCAGGAAGATGAAGGCTAAAGATAAAAGGATGAAAGGGCAACATAGAAATCCCTACCCCTCAGTCTCCTCACTGTAAGGAGGTGGGAATGCAGCGGGGACGACTCTGGGCTCCCAGTACAGTAGACGGAGCTCCTTGTTGCCTGCGTCAGTTATGCATGATCTCTTCTTTCTTCTCCCCTCCCCCCTCCTCTACCTACTCCTGAAAATCTTTCTTCCTCCTCAATGACTGAATCTGACAGGTTTCCAAAGCCAGTCTTTTACTGTGACCCTGGCAAGCCATTGAGGAGGAAGAAAGATTTTCAGGAGCCTTAACCTGGGTGGGAAATCTTTTTGTTTTTACAAATGTCCCTGAGGCCTCAGTAGATAAACCTCCACTAAAAACATTTTGAAAGAAATTGTAGAATAAATAATATACATAGGCATCTATTTCCCACCTCCGCTTGAGCTTGTATGTTTCTATCCATCAACAAAGGTCTTCACGTTGTCCTATGAAGCCTTGATCTGAAACAGATCCCGCACCGCCACCCTAGAGGGCGCACTGCTTACATTTTCCGCCAGCAACGCAACAGCGCTCGCTCCCAGGCTCCATAAAAGGGGAGGAGGCGGATCAGTTTCCTTCTCTCATTGAGAAAGACGAGGATTGGAAGGCCGGGCGTATAAAGCCGCGCAGAGAGCGTGAAACAAAGCAGTCGGATCGGAATTGGGCTTGGGAGGCGCGGTGTGGAGTCAGGCATAAAACTTGTTGGAGGAGAGTAACGAGCCTGCTCCTCTCCTTTTCCTCCCCGTCTGCGCTGCGCTCCAGGGGTTTCTTCCAGCGTCGCCGTTTATTTTTATATCTGCTTTTTATATAGAGAGAAATATACATATATTTTTTTCTTCTTAAGAGAAAATTCCTGTTCCAAGAGGAAATAAGGCAACATCAATGAAGGAGAGAAGAGCCAGCCAGAAATTATCTAGTAAATCTATCATGGATCCTAATCAGAACGTGAAATGCAAGATAGTAGTGGTGGGAGACAGTCAATGTGGGAAAACCGCGCTGCTGCATGTCTTCGCCAAGGACTGCTTCCCCGAGGTGAGTGCGGCCGGCTGTGGCCGCAATCCCAGGGGTGGCTTGGCTCGCAGGAGGCTTGCCTAGCTTCTCCCTCGTCACCCGCCTCTCCTTTTTAAAGCGGTCTTTCTTACTCCTTATACTTTTCCCCTGATAACACTGCTGGGAAAAGGAAAGTGCGCTGGAAACGTTTGGGGGTTGGGACGCGCCGGCACAGTGGGCTGATAGCGCCTGAAACTTCATTCCCCTCTACAGAACCTGGGGCCCAGGGATTTGGGTCAGCAAGTCACCAAAAGCTGAGATGGCTTTGGGGGCAAGTGGGAAGTCAGACCCGGGCTTTGAAAAAGAACTGCGTGTTTAGTGTGTAGTCTCATGTGTGCGGATTCGTGTGTGTGTGTGTGTGTGTGTGTGTGTGTGTGTGTGTACGTTTAATTGTGGAAGGGAAAGCGATTTTGGGGGGTGTTGAGTGGGTGTTGTGCGTTTTAAGATAACCTTTTTACCCTCTTTCTTTCCTTCTCTATCCTTGTTTGTCCAGAATTACGTCCCTACAGTGTTTGAGAATTACACGGCCAGTTTTGAAATCGACACACAAAGAATAGAGTTGAGCTTGTGGGACACTTCGGGTAAGAGGCGTCGGACCGCGTGGCGCTTGGGGCGGGTTTCCCCGCAGGGGGCGCGCGGCGGGTCTCAGAACCCCGCGCTGGAGGCGTTCTCAGCACCACCTGGCGCGCCTGGAGCGCGCTGCGCCCCTCCACTAACTTTACACTCTCTGAGGGATTCCCACGGTCTCTGCTGGGAGTAAATGTTACCCGGTTTTGTTGGGGACGGGGGAGGACGTTACTATGTGCCAGAAGAGCGACCGCGCGGTGGGCGCTCTCGTGGCGTGGCCTGGCGCTTTATGCGACAGTGTGGGTGTCGCCCAGGGGCGGTTTTGGTGGCCAGATCCTGGGTGGTGGGGGTGGGTTGGCTTCGCCTCCGCGCTACCCACTAATACAGTATAGGCGCCCCTCCTGGCTCTAACCTGCTGGTAGGCGGAGAGTCAGGCGAGGAGCGTGGCGAGGGTGAAAGGAAGCGGGAGAAAATCCCTGCATTCAGGCGGATAAGTGCAGCTTCCGCGCTTGGGGAAGAGTAACGTGAGCGCAAGCAGCCGAGGCGTCCGTGACTCCTACAGCCAGGAATGCGCTAGCAGCGCAGACAGCGCAGGGCCTGGCGGCCGCCGCGCTTGCTCTTCGCGCCGCTGGCGGCCCTCCACGTCTTAGTGCCCACCTGCACCAAGCCACCCCTTCGTCCCCACCCCCAGTGATCATGCTTTTCCTCCCTGGCTATGCCGGTTCTGCTTGATCCCCTATTGCATCACCCTCCACCTTCCTGCAAGGCAGTGGGCAGAAGTATTCATCTTTGACCTTGCTGTCTACTTGAATTATTGGCGCCGCGGTGGGTTATTTTTCAAGGGTATGGAGTTCAAGGCCAGGTTATTGCCTTCCCATGAGCCCACCCACCTTCTTGGTGCGTGTTGGTTAGGGAAGGCCAGGTACCCCGTCGATGGAAGGGCTCCCAGCTCTGGGCTGAGTTAGAGGTTCGGGCAGGGTCAAGGGCGGTGGGTGCTGGGGGAAGGGGGGTAGAGTACCTCCGGGAATTTGAAACCCAGGCACTCAGCCGCCTTCTCCAGCGGTGCCTGTCGGCAAAGAATGCCTTTTCCAAGAGGAGAATACCTCTGGAGAGGCAGGAGCCCTTGGGAAGGCAGGGCAAAGGGCCTCGCGTTTAGGGCTGGGAGTTTAGTAGGGAGCTGGGCCAAATCCCGGGTGAAACTAGAGTGAGGCGCGCACAAGTGCCAACACGCCGGTTTGCTTTCCAGCGAGGAGGCCCTGAAGTGAAACCGCTCTCACTAGGAGTGGCCTTGTGGAGGTCCCAAAACCCTGGGCTTGAACCTCAGAAGTCCCCAGGGACTGGGGGGGTGGGACGAGGGGGGGAGAAGGGCGGGATTAGAGAGCAAGAGAAAGGGACCTGACCGGCAGGGTCGCCAGAGGCAATCCCTGCACAAAGGCAAGCGAGAAGTCTCACACGAGCGCCTCTTACGGTGGGTCCAGATGCTCCTGCTGCTGCAGTAAAAAGGGCAGATTTTTTTCCCCCTTAGAGAGCAGGCTCTTCCTCCAGCAGCTCCAAGGGGAGCAGAACCCGGAGCGCGCCCTGTTTATGGAGGGGATTGCACATACAGACTCAACTACAGAGAAGGTGTTGGTAGGAGAATCCTAGTGGCTTCTCATTTCAGTAGTTCCTATCATCTGCGTTATTGCACTGCCTAGTACTTAATGGGCTCTAATTCCCAGGCATATCATGATATTTGCTCTGCCTAGTGGGCAGGACAGCTGGTGTGGTACCAGTAATTAGCACCGGGACCCTCCGTTCCTCCAGCCCTATTTGGACTTAATGCATAGCAGGCATTATTTAGCCAGTGGGGTGGGCTGAGGGTTTGATCCGATCCTTGATACAAAGCTGTATTTAGATCTTAGCTCCTGGTTACCACGGATTTCTTTGTGCAAATCTCCCACCTCCCTGGGTCTCATTTTCTTCATCTGTAAAGAGAGGACACTGAGCTAGATAATGTGCAGATTCTCTTGTGGCCATACACTTCGTGGTTTTAGAGCATGGACAGGCAAGTCTTTTTGTGTCCCAGGATGTTGGTTGGCTTCAGCTCTTGGTCCCAGTGGACATGGTATCCTCTGCTGGGGTTTTTGCTTCCTACAAAGCAAGCCAGGTTATTATAGCAGAGCCAGGCTTCCTGATGGATCTGGGAATGAGACACAAGTGGGTAGGGAGGGGGAGTGGGCGGGCTTATAGTTGAGTTATACATCCCCTGTCTCCAGCTTCAAGAGCCACGGGACCACCAAGGTAGATTTTAGATTAGGTGCCCAACGGGTTAAAATGACTCTTTTTTAGGAGAAAAAAGGTATATTGTTTTCCAAAGGCCAGAACATAAACAAAATGTGGGCTGTTTGCAGTTGGAGTCTGCCCTTTGAATGTGCAGATAAATATGACTTCAGATATTTTCAAGTATTTAATCAAAACTCTGCACTTCTTAGTCTGTCCACATAGCACATCTTGCACACAGTGGTCACCCAATAAAATCTGTTGAATGAGCTAATGAATAATGATATGCATAGTTTACAAGGAGATAGGTTTCCTGACATTTGTTACCAGTGAATTACCTGTGTGCAAAGAATGGCAACTATAAACATTCCCTTTCACCCAATTAAAGATAATCACCTGAAATGAAATCTGTAGTGAAATAATCATTTGTATATTTGTTTAATGAAACAAAAGCTATGCATAGCTTTGAAAATTGTGATTAAGAAAATATTGTACTGCAAAATTATCCACTGATGAAATCGTAGCTAGAGTTTAGATTTATATAAATGGATAAAAAGAGGCGTCAGGGACTTATTTAGAATTCTATTATATTGCGTGTGAGGTGAAATGTTAGTTAATTAAACACAGTCAGCAAACACTGCTAAAATTCCAAGAATAGCCTTTTAACCAAAATTGGTTTGTCATTCATGGGTAAGATACATCTAGCAGGGACCATTGCATCAGCCACTAATGATTTCAAATATCTTTCACATTTTTCTCTTTAATCCCAAGCTTTTCACGGTAAATTTCTGAATAGGATTACTTTTTGACAAATGTTTGACATTTTCTTTGCCCACTAAGACATTTATTTGATTCAGGTTGTGAAAATAATTGCATATGCCTTATGCCTCTTGATGCATTTATTTTTTCCATCTGCCAACTATTAATTTAATTCTGCAGCAGAGATCAAGCCAGGACTGTAAAGTCCTATATATCAGATGATTTTCCCTCCTAGAACATTGTGGAAGAGATTTATACAGGAAAATCGGGTGTGCCTCACTTTTGCACACAAGGAGAGAAATGGCATCAACTTTGTCAGTTGGATGGTATTCCTGGCAGAGAGGCAACCATGTAGGACACAGAAGCAGTTCGCTTATCTGGTCTCTCTACTTAAACAGTTCCTTATAAAGGGTCTACTTTTAATTCTGCCAGTTTTGATGTGGGAAAGAGCATCAAGGGAAAGTAGGGTATGTGGAGTCTCTGAGACAGAAGTGGAAGTCATTCATTTCCCACTTTTTTGAGGCTGGGTACATTGACATTTCCTTCCTTTCCCCCTCTATCCCTCTCTCTCTTTCTCCTTTATGTGTCCCTTCTCTTTCTTCTTTATGTGTCTCCTATAATATAAACAGGCTTTCTGTTAGGCCTTGAAGATGTGGAGTTAATGAAAACATGGTCTTGCCCCTAAGAAGAGGCAAGTCTGGCCTAAGTCTGAGTGGAGCAGTGGGGAGAAAGACGCTCTCCCCTTTTAGTGTAATGTGGCTGGCTCAGAGCCAAACTTTGATGAGCCCAGTTTTGTCAGGTTCTTGAACCCAAGGGACCTGTTCCACCTGGTTGCAATGCATCTCCCTTGTCAGGCGTCCCTAGGGCTTTTATATCCTCTAGATCATCTTCAGGTAGGAAACAGCTCTGTCTCTACCCCCACGCACACACCAATTAAAACAACCACAAGTGGCACTTGGCCAAGTGATTGTTTATGGGTGCTTAAAGCCTTCCAAAAGGGGAACCTACCAAAAACTGTCATATGAATCATCTAAGATGGAGATTTTTCAAGATAGTGTTTGGATAGAGGTCCACCATTTCTTCATTTTACTGAGAAATACTCTTTTTAAAAAATTATAACATAAGGATTTCTATTAATAGTTGAAGAAATGCTACTAATGATTTCCAATTTATCCAGTGAGTTTCTGCAAAACAGCAGTCAATGGTTTCAGCGTTTTACAGTGATAAGTGAGACCAAAGTAGTTTTGATATCATAGGTCTCAAAATCTGCCACATTTGCCAAGTGTAGAAGCAATTTGTAGCATGAAGTGACTACTAATAATAGAAAGTTAGTCATTTAGGGATCACCATATCTTTTCCTAAGAGATTCGATTGCAGTGTAATTTCAGCACATGTGATTTAGGGAGTAATAATCATTCATGCCAGCTTTTAACCAAGGCAAGTTAATGCATTTTTTATTTAAGGCATATTATTAGTTTTAAAATATTCAATTTAGCTGCTAAAATCCCCTACAATAACTATGCTGTTGCCTCATGAACACTCATTTAAATCTTCTCATGGTACAATCTTCCCCTTTAGTTTCTGAGTGCTAAAATTAGCATTTTCTGTATTAATTTTTAGCATTATTGACAGCAAATGTAGTGTTCTTAAACTTTTATCTAAAAGGAATAGGGAGGAGAGAAAATATTAACTATCTCATGGCCTTACTTTGAGGACAAATTCTTCTATTATATAATCATAAGTCTGTCTATATTGTGTATTTGTAGCTTAGACGTCAAGTTTGAAGAATGGTTTTGGTGACACATGCACTAATGAAATATTTCTTTACAAGGATAGGAAGGCTTCAGCAGTATTGGAGATTAGTACATAATTAATCCAGAAAAGCAGCTTAAGAAGAGATCATTGGTTTCTTTTTTCGGTGTCTTAATATATAAATTAACACATCTGGACAAGACATGTAGAAATAATTATGAAACCAATAGACATATTCTAGGGC